CACTCACCTCAGCCTCCCAAAGGCGCAGGATTACAGGCTGAGCCACCGAGCCCGGCCCTGTTGTGTTTTTTTATACATGATCTTGTAATAGTTTATTAGCAGTAAGTTTGCCAGTAATTGTGCAATGCTAAATTCTTTTGTAAATTGTATTTTTTAAATTTTCAGGATTTGAGGATGCATGATTAAATTAAAATAATAAATCAGTGGTTAGAAGTGTGTTCACTGTTTTCATGCTGAGCATGGTGGCTCGTGCCTGTAATCCCAGCGCTTTGGGAGGCTGAGATGGGGGGCTGCAATAAAAAAGATGACACTCGGCCGGGCTCGGTGGCTCAGCCTGTAATCCCACGCTTTGGGAGGCCGAAGTGAGTGGACTGCCTGAGCCCACGGGTTCGAAACCCGATTGGGCAACTTGGTGAGACCTCATCTCTACAATAAATAAAAAATAATTAGCTGGGCATGGTAGCACGCGCCTGTAGTTCCAGCTACTTGGAAGGCTGAGGCGGAAGGATCGCCGGAGCCCAGCAGGTTGAGGCTGCGGTGACCGGGAGTGGCCACTGCACTCCAGTCTGGACGACAGAGCGAGACTCCAACTCAAAAAAAAAAAAAAAAAAAAAAAAAGACACTCAAATGATGCTACATCATGCTCAAAATCAAAAGAATCTCATAAGTAAGTGAAACGAAACATTCAAATACATATTCTAGTACCAAACACAACATAGGCAATTAGTGCCAACAAGACATCATCTGTCACATTAATTTAAAGTTGTTCAGATGAGTTTTATTTCTAAAAATGCAACTCATGCTTACAATGAGAAGAAAAAAGCAGATTGTCTTAAATTAGATGCAACCCTCAATCGACAAATAAATATACGTAGAAGTTCTTCAAGTTTGGATAATAGATACTATAACACTGTCTATTACTTTTAGTGAAACTGCATCCAACTGAGAAAAATGTATCCACTTGAAAACATATCAGAATTCTCTATCAAAAAACCTTAAGAAATGTAATGATACAGATGTTTCTCTGTGTATAAAAGTCAAATATAGAAATGTAGGGAGTAAAAGTAAAAGTCCATTGCCTATACTTCTCCACAATCCCACAAGTCTCCCCACTATTAGTTCGTGGTTTGTTGTATCTCCTTCCAGACTTTTCCATATGAGTCAAACTCTATGCTGGAGTTGATATAATACTAAATAAAGTTTATGAGTCAGGTTTCTAGATGCCATTAGATGATAATTCCTGATCACAAAGTACTCATTTAATGTGCTGATGAAGTTGCTGGTCTACTACTGAGAAAGTCATTCTTAAAGAGGCCCCATAAAAGCCCCTAAGTAGCGAGATTAAGAGAATTTTCAGGTTGGTGAACATATTCACACACCGGGAGGGTGACGGAACCCAACTCCATGGGATAGAAGCTCCTGGGCTCAGGACCTCCAGAAAGTGAAACTAGATCTTCACACAAACTGTCCCTTGCCCTATGCACCTCTTCATCTTGCTTTATAATTTCCTTTTAACAAACCAGTAAATGTAAATAAAGTGTTTCCCTGAGTTTTGTGTGCCATTCTAGCACGTTATTAAACCTGAGGAGGGGGTCATGGGAACCCCTGATTTATAGACTCCTGTCAGGAGGCCCAGGACTTCTAACTGGTGTCCGAATTGGAGGCAGTCCCGTGGCACTAACACTTAACCTGTAGGATGTGATGCCAATTCAGGAAGAACTGGCTTTTTATCCCAGTCTTTCTATAGATATATGCTCACATTATCATAGACTCAACTGACAGCTGGCCATTAACAGTTTATAAGCATTTACCCATCTCATTAAAAACTTTTCATAAGCAACATAGTTTAAATAGCTCTATCACCTTTTATCCTATGGCTGTAATAGAATTTACTATTTATCGATTGTCAGACATTTCCACTTTATACACTATTTCAAACTTCATTTTTTTCCTCATCAGAAAACATGCTCATTTTGGAAAATCTGTAAATCAGACTGTATACTTTCCAGTTTCTTTTCTATGTATTGTATTCCATTTTTACCATTATACCTATGCTGATTCTAAACACATATCTTTGCACATAAATCTTTGTATTTTTATTTATTTAAAATATATTGTGAGCCGGGTTTGGTGGCTCAGCCTGTAATCCAGAGCCTTTGGGAAGCTGAGGTGAGTGGACTGCCCGAGCCCATGGGTTTGAGGCCCGCCTGGGCAGGCGAGACCTCATCTCTATAATAAAATAAAATAAAAAATTAGCCGGGCGTGGTAGCGCACGCCTGTCATTCCGGCTACTTGGAAGGCTGAGGCAGAAGAATCGCTGGAGCCCAGCAGGTCGAGGCTGCGGTGGCGGGGAGCGGCCACTGCACTCCAGTCTGGGTGACAGACTGAGACTCCAACTCAAAAAAATATATAAAAAATAAAAAATAAAATAAAATATATTGTGGAATGATAGGATAATAAAGTATATTGTTTTAAGATTCTGATAATGTATTATTAAACTTCTGGGAATTTTTTTTCATATTGTTTTCGTAACAACTCAGGTAAGAAGCAGTCTTAACTAAACAAGCAAATCTTTATAAGGTTCAGAATCAAACAGTGATATACATGTGGACATCTTCGGAGCAACAAGTCTCCCTCTTGATGCCCATGCCCCACGCAGGTCTACCAGATGTCTTCACTGGGATGCCCACAGGTTCCTCAAACTTAACACCTTCTGAACTGAGTTCTTTCTTATTTCAATTTTTATTGTTAGTTCTCTGGTCCAGACCACCATGATGTACTGAACCAGTTCTAAACTGGATTCCACACTTGCTCTCTTCCAGGTCGCCCTACTCAAAGCAGCAAAAGTGATTTTCTTAACATGTGAATAGGATGATTGCCCCATTCCTTTACTTAAAACCCTTCAATGCATCCTCTTTATATTTTCAACAAGATAAAAGCTTATCATGGCCGACGAGATGCTACATGACACCTACACTGGCAGCAGTCTCATCTCACTCCCCTTTCCTCACTTGACTTACTCTGGTTCTACTTGTTCTTCCTCAATTCTTAGAACATGGCAAGTTTCTCAGACCTTGGAGACTATATAGCACATACTGTTCTCTGTCTAAAATGTTCTTCTCTCCCTTTGCATAACTAAAAGTTTACATGTAGTATCTTATTTAGTATTCATAACAACCATATGAGTTACATTCTATTATCGCCCATATTTTTTTTCATTCAAATGTACATATGTATCACTGCATTTACCAAAAGAAAGCTCAATATTGCTGTAACAGGAACTATACAACAGGGGCTGGTAAATAATAGCATCCCCTACCCATCTGTTTTCTTTTTTTTTGAGTCAGAGTCTCACTCTGTCACCCAGGCTGGAGTGCAGTGGCACGATCATGGCTACCACAGCCTTGACCTGCTGGGCTCAGGCGATCCTTCTGCCTCGGCCTTACAAGTAGCTGGAACTACAGGTGCACGCCATCATGCCTGGCTAATTTTTCTATTTATTGTAGAGACAAGTTCTCGCCAAGTTGCCCAGGCTGGTCTCAACCCCTTGGGTTCAGGCAGTCCTCTTGCCTCCACCTCCCAAAGTGCTGGGATTACAGACGTGAGCCACCATACCTGGTGAGTTTGCTTTTTTAAAATAAACTTTATTTTTTAGAGCAGTTTTAAGTTCACAGCAAATCACAGAAAGTTCTGCTGAGAGTTTTCATATACTCCCTATCTCCACATCCCCAGTTTCCAGCACTATCAATATTTTGCACCAGTGATACATTTATTACAATCAATAAACCTACACTGATACTCAAGTATCACCCAAAGTCCATAGTTTACACCGAGGTTCACTCTTGGTGTTGCACATTCTGTGGGTTTATATATAATGTATATACATAATGTAATACATAATGGATCTACACTACATTGGGATGGAGAATGGCACCTGCCCTACAACAT